TTTGTCTAAAGACCTTGTAAGCCGTGTGTACTAATGTGATGAATACAATTTCATCACAGTGTTTGTCAAGATATCTTTTTGCAAGCTGTGGGTACAACTGTGATGATGACATTTTTCAATCACAGTCCTTGTCAAGAGACCTCTTTTGCAGCCTTTGTCAATGGGGTGCGATGAGGACGTGTTCAATCAGTCTTTGTCTTGCAAGCCGTGGGTACAAATACGTGATAAAGACTTTTCACAGTCTCTATCTAAAGACCTTTTTTGGCAAGCCTGTGTCTTAATGCGCATCTGTTTTCAGTTACAAAACTTTGTAAGCCGTGGGTACTAGTGTGATGATACAACTTCATCAGTCTTTGTCAAGAAACTTTTTTTGCAACCGTGGGTACAAATGTAATGAAGAAGTTATCACTCAAAGTCTTTGTCTAAAGACGTTTCTTGCAAGCCGTGGGTACAAATACGTGATAAAGACTTTTCATTCACACTGTATTCGCTTACAAGCCTGTGTCTTAATGCACATCTGTTTTCAGTTACAAGACTTTGTCTTACAACTTTTCCATCAGCCGTGGGTACAAATCAACCCCCTTGTAATCGTTATTTCACTCGCAACGGGACTCGGGACATAGCTATTTTCAATCTATAAAGACTAGCCTTTGTCTTAAGGCATCTTTTTTAAGTTCAAGACTTTTTCTTACAACTTTTTCATAAGCCGTGGGTACAAACAAACCCCCTTGTAAACGTTGTTTCACTCGCAACAGGACTCGGGACATAGCTATTTTCATAGCTATGGACAAAGCTATTTTCAGTCTATAAAGACTAGCCTTTGTCTTAAGGCATCTATTTTCCTTTACAAGTTTTTTGTCAAGTAACGTACATTTCATAAGCCGTGGGTACAAACAAACACCCTTGTAAACGTTGTTTCACTCGCAACAGGACTCGGGACATAGCTATTTTCATAGCTATGGACAAAGCTATTTTCAGTCTATAAGGCATCTATTTTCCTTTACAAGTTTTTTGTCAAATAACGTACATTTCATAAGCCGTGGGTACAAACAAACACCCTTGTGATCAGTTATTTCACTCGAAATGGGACTCGGGACATAGCTATGGACAAAGCTATTTTAGTCTATGAAGACTAACCTTTGTCTTAAGGCATATTTTTTAAGTTCAAGACTTTGTCTTACAACTTTTTCATAAGCCGTGGGTACAAGAAACCCCTTTGTGATCATTATTTTACTCGCTACGGGACTCGGGACAATTAGTTTTCATCACTTGTGGTCGTTATTTCCACCAACAAGCTGAAAACCAATTCATAGGCTTTGTATAAAGACACATTCTGTCTAAAGACCCTTTTTGTAAAGCCGTGGGTACTTGAGTATGTTGGATTTTAACTCTCCATCCCCAAGCATCTCTTGGTTAGTGATAACATTACCAACAATGGTACTAATGTATAATTGAACATGTTTTCAACCAGCCTCCTTTTAAAGACTTTGTAAGCCGTGGGTACTAATGTGATTACAGTCTTTGACAAGAGACTTTTTTTGCAAAGTCGTAGGTACAAATGTGGTAAAGACCTTTCTTGTTTTCAATCACTGTCAATGTCTACAGACTTGTTTTTAAACCGTGGGTACCAAGATTTCCAATGACTCTTCATACATAGTCTCTGTCTTAAGACCTTTTCGACGCTGTAGGTAGTGAACTAATGAGTATACTATCACAGTCATTGCCTCAAAGAATTGTTTCACTGTGACCTTTTCTCATAGCCTTTGCCTACAACTTATTTTTGCAAAGCCGTGGGTACAAATGTGATGAAGAAGTTTTCAATCACAGCCTTTGTCTGAAGACCTTTCTTGCAAGCCGTGGGTAGCTAATGCGATGAATACGTTTCATTCACCGTCTTTGTCTCAAGACTTTCTTGCAAGCCATGGGTACTAACGTAATGTATACGTTTTTTCAATCACAGTCTCTCTCTAACGACTTGTTTTGAAACCGTGGGTACTAAATTTTGTCACACTTTGCATACTCAAACATCCTTTGCTTCACATAGCTGTGGGTAAGAAGCAATGGATCGATCTGGTTTAGATTTAGAGTAGTCTTTGTCTGTAGACTTCTCTCTTAAACCGTACATATATACATTACCAATACTGAAAGCCGTGGGTAGCAAGATTTTCCAACGATCTCATGGCCCTTGTCTAACTGTAGCCTTTGGTCTAATTAAGACATGGTCATTTTCTGTCTAAAGAGTTCCTTTTTAAGCCGATGGTTGTTCATTTTACTTTTGCGTAGAGTCGTAGACAACCAACCAAAACTTTTTTGAGCCGTTGGGACAATCTCCTACATAGCCTGTGTCTAAAAGCCGTAGGTACTAATGTATAATTGAACACGTTTTCAACCAGCCTTTGTCTAAAGACCATGTAAGCCGTGTGTACTAATGTGATGAATACAGTTTCATCAGTCTTTGTCAAGAGATCTTTTTGCAAGCCGTGGGTACAAATGTGATGATGACATTTTTCAATCACAGTCCTTGTCAAGAGAATTTTTTTGCAACCTTTGTCAATGGGGTGTGATGAGGACGTGTTCAATCAGTCTTTGTCACCTTTCTTGCAAGCCGTGGGTACAAATACGTGATAAAGACTTTTCATTCACACTGTATTCCCTTACAAGCCTTTCTCTTAATGCGTCTGTTTTCTGTTACAAGACTTTGTCTTGCAACTTTTCCATAAGCCGTGGGTACAAATCAACCCCCTTGTAATCGTTATTTCACTCGCAACAGAACTCGGGACATAGCTATTTCCAGTCTATAAAGACTAGCCTTTGTCTTAAGGCATCTTTTTCAGTTCAAGACTTTGTCTTACAACTTTTTCATAAGCCGTGGGTACAAACAAACCCCCTTATGATCGTTATTTTACTCGCAACGGGACTCGGGACAATTAGTTTTCATCACTTGTGGTCGTTATTTCCATCCAACAAGCTGAAAACCAATTCATAGCCTTTGTATAAAGACATATTCTGTCTAAAGAACCTTTTTGTAAAGCCGAGGGTACTTGAGTATGTTTGGTTTTAACTCTCCATCCCCAAACATCTCTTGGTTAGTGATAACACTACCAACAATGGTTAAAGTTTCCTCTTTTGGGTCTAAACTTTCAGGCAACACTGACTCGGGACAATGTCCCCAAATAAGAATCTGGCAGAACACCATTAGATTGGTGTCTGCCTATGTATGATCTTTTTGGAGTCTGATAAAACCAAAACCAAAGCAACAAAAAATAAACGTAATGACTAAAAGCAGTATAAGAACTTATCTGTCTTTTTGTTGCCACTTTCTTTAGCCGTTGAACTCAAAGATTCACAACTTGTCAATGGTGAGTTTCTCCACACCCACATACTGTAAACAAAAACAGAGAGAGAGAGAGAGAGAGGCTAAAGTGAGTGACTTGTAAAGTGAAAAAACCAACTAAAAGAAACGATCTTTGAACTCAAAAAACAAATCTATGTCAATATTAGATTACACAATGTCTATACGCCACTTGTATAAGCAATCAGCACACCAAAGAAGCGTTTATATATATATACAACAAGAACATCAACAAGTAGCACAAATCTAAAGCGAGATCAAGTTCTAAGTTATTACTTGTCAAAATATCATGTCAATTGCTAAAATTACAGAATCATCTCAACGAAAACTGTACAAAAAAAATAATTTGCGTAGACAGAGACGTGAGACGTACCTCGCAACGATGATTCCACTCCGATTCCAAGCGCTTTCCAAGATCACTGCAACAACAATTAAAGGAACGATTAAGGAAAAACTTGGAACCCTAAAAATAAAATCCTATAAACCCAAACCGATCGCAGCAAACCCTACCACGAGATATGAACGGAACCAAACAAAGAAAAATAAATTCACGATCAATCGAGACCTAAACTTCCGCTGGTAAAAATCTTCGATTTCTCCAGAAAAATTTGGGAGAAAGCCGTAATATTACATCTGATATATATTTATAACAATATTGTTGCATCTTTAAAGAATAACGGATACAAAACACAGCAACGGATACATTTTCAAATGGACGGTGCTTTTTTGTACACGTGTCCTGGTTACATTAATAATACACACGATTAAACTTTCCCCTCAAGTTTTTTTTTATCTATCCTGCAGATTAAATACGGTTTCAATTTCAAACATAGGTTTTTAACAATTTTTAACTAAGTTCAACAAAGCCCATTATTTAAAAAACTGGGCTTTCTTTACTATCCTTCTTCTGATTTCAAGTGAAACAACGCTTATGAACCTTCCGATCATATCTTTGGTTTCTTCTACTTCTTGGCCAAAACAGAGATATAGAGAGAGATAAATACAAAGAATGAAACTGTTTCGAGTCTTCTCATCTGAATAATTCTTGAAATTCTTCAAGGGTTTTCCCTTTAGTCTCAGGAACCCACAGAGTCACAAACACCACTGTGAATGCACAAACCACCCCGTACATAGTGAAAGTTCTTGTCCAAAAATAACCAAAAACCACATCAAAAAGATGTACAAAACTTGAGAAGTAACAACTTCAGAGATTTATAAACGTTCTATCGTTACAATAAGACTTATAGTTTAAAATCAAGACAAAAATGAACATTCAGGAACCAAGACCTCTAGCTTATTCTACGCAACTCTACTTGAAAGGAAAGGGTACATATCCACGACGAAATGCTGTCTAAGTACACAAAGCTTGTAACTGACAAGATGTTAAACAGGTCCGTGTTTAAGTAAAACCCAAAGGAACTAAACTTTATAGTGATGTTTCATTCAAAAGATTAACAGACGATGTGATGCCTAACAAGAGAACCTCTTGTTTTGAAACCAAGGGAGAAACTAAGACAACAAACACACAAAATGTCTAAAAACTCAAGTAATCAAACAACATCAGCGAATGATTGAGGAGTTCTTGTGTCTGACAACTCTGCTTCTCCTGCTCCACTAGGGCATCAAGGTCTGAAAATTGTTGCAGCTTCTACTTCAGCAAACTGTCCTCCATTTCTTGTAGCCTAGCCAAACAAAACTGTTCTGTCTCCTTCCTTACTTTCATATGGTCCAACTTCTTCTCCAACCAATCCACCTTACAACCAGCGTCTTTCCAGTAAGTCAGTGCAACATCTGCTTCCCTAAGATCTTCACTGGAGAGCTCCTCGAGTGATTGGCACAGTGTATCGATTAAGCTGAGCAGGAAATCCATACATGTGTTCCTCAGATGTTGGTTCTTTGCACGGAACTCTACTGCAATGTCCGGATGTCTTTTAAAGATAAGTCTTACATAATCTACATGCGAATGGAGCAACAATGTATATCGCATCAGACCACAACATACCCCTATTCAATAGCTTTCCCTATAAAAAGAATACTAATGCACAACAAATGCCATTCACAAGTTCCAAATCTGTGAAAGAAGAACTTGAAAGCCACTTACATCTATGCTTTCCTTATCAGACTCCTCTGATGCGTCAGAGTATCTTTTGGTAGTAGAAACATGACACCACCCAACGGGAAATAAAAGGATTTTGAGCACATGTAACTTAAGTGAGCAAAAACAATAGAGGAAAAGTGAATCACAAATAATGAGTTAGAATGATACATATAAGATAGCCAAGAGGCGAGACTCTTTATCACCCAAGTGAGCTTCTTCTTAGATTAGTTGGTTAAGTACTGGTTAAATGTTGGTTAGGTACTAGTTCGGTTTACTTGTAAATACCGGGTACCTATATATATGTGTAAATGTATCTGTACAGTTACAATTAATGTGAATAACAAACTTTTACATTCAGCTCAAACTCTCTCTCTCGAAGCTCTCATTCATCATCTTCTTCTCTTCGATCGTTTGTTNCGGTTTACTTGTAAATACCGGGTACCTATATATATGTGTAAATGTATCTGTACAGTTACAATTAATGTGAATAACAAACTTTTACATTCAGCTCAAACTCTCTCTCTCGAAGCTCTCATTCATCATCTTCTTCTCTTCGATCGTTTGTTAATATGGTATCAGAGCTTTCTCATTGAGTTTCCGCTTCGATCGATTCACATTATGAGTGCTTCTATGCTGTTGATCTCGCGATTCTTCGTGTTCTTGCTCATCGCCATTGTTGAAGCTTTTCAGGGGGTTTTGAGTTGCTTTCTCTTTCTGATTCTTTTTGTTTCTCTTTGATTGACCTATCACGAACGATTTCTTTTCTTTTTCATCGTTTCGTTTCAATTGATTTGGTTTTTGGATTCTTGATTTACATCTCATGGCGGATCCAGATTCTGAATCGCGTAATCCGGTGGCGAATGATACATCGCGTTTTCCGACGGATCAGTATGCGAATCCTTACTATCTGCATCATACTGATCATCCTGGACTTGTTCTTGTTTCAGATCGATTGAATACTGCATCGGAGTTCCATTCTTGGAGAAGATCTGTGCGTATGGCCTTGAATGTGCGTAACAAGTTAGGCTTCGTTGATGGTACTATTCCTCGTCCTCCTCTTACTCATAGAGATTATGGCGTGTGGTCTAGATGCAATGATATTGTTGCCACTTGGTTGATGAATTCGGTTTCCAAGAAAATTGGACAGAGTCTTTTGTTCATTTCCACAGCAGAGGGTATTTGGANTCCTCGTCCTCCTCTTACTCATAGAGATTATGGCGTGTGGTCTAGATGCAATGATATTGTTGCCACTTGGTTGATGAATTCGGTTTCCAAGAAAATTGGACAGAGTCTTTTGTTCATTTCCACAGCAGAGGGTATTTGGAACAACTTGATTTCGCGTTTTAAACAAGATGATGCACCTAGAGTGTATGATCTTGAGCAGAGTTTGAGTAAGATAGAACAAGGTTCCATGGATGTCTCTACTTACTATACGGAGTTGATTACATTGTGGGAGGAGCACAAGAATTATGTAGATCTTCCGGTTTGTACGTGTGGTCGTTGTGAGTGTGATGCTGCTTCATTGTGGGAGAAATTGCAGCAGAGGAGTAGAGTAACAAAGTTCTTGATGGGCTTGAATGAGTCGTATGAGCAGTCTAGGCGTCATATTCTTATGTTGAAGCCAATGCCTACGATTGAAGAAGCTTTCAACATTGTTACTCAGGATGAGAGACAGAGAGCTATTAAGCCATCTACGAAGGTTGATAACGTTGCTTTTCAGGCCACAGTGACTCCTACGGTGACTCCTACTCTGGATTCTTCCTTGATGACATTGGAGAATAGTGCGTATGTTGCTGCTTACAACACCATTCGACAGCAGAATCAGAGACCTATTTGTACACATTGTGGTAAAAGTGGTCATACGATTCAGAAATGCTTTAAGTTGATTGGGTTTCCTCCAGGATATAAGACAAATGGTTCTGGTTATGGATCAAAGAATCAATATCCTCAGAAGAATCAACAGCAACAGCAACAACAACAAGCTCGTCCTGTTCAACAACAACTTACTAGTTCTACTGTTCAACAGGCTAATGCTATTGCCAATGTTCATTCTGATCTTGGTATCTCCAAATATCAGTATTCTCAACCTGGAGTCCCATATATCACAAGTGGTGGCGCAAGTACGATTCTTCAGGAGTTTACCCCACAAAAAATTCAGCATTTGATCTCTCAATTCAATTCTCAAGTCCGGGTTCAAGAGCCTTCGATTCCTTCTTCACGGGCCACTATCACAGATCATGGTGCTATTGGCTCAGCTTCTTCTTCTGGTACTATACCTTTTCCTTCCACAAGCCTTCGATATGATCATCCTATTCTTACTTTTCATGATCACTGTCTTTCTACTATTCAATCCTTTTTACCACATAATTCTTGGATTATAGATAGTGGGGCATCAAGTCACGTTTGTTCAGATTTGGCAATGTTTACAGAGCTTACACCAGTGCATAATGTCACTGTTACATTACCAAATGGAACCAAAGTGCCCATTACTCATACTGGAACCATTCATATTACGGATGCATTAGTCTTGCATCATGTTTTACATGTTCCTGATTTCCACTTTAATCTCATAAGTGTTAGCAATCTACTGAAAACTATATCTTGCTCGGCTCATTTCTTTGTTGATTGTTGTTTGTTACAGGAACTTTCACAGGGATTGATGATTGGGAGGGGTAGTCTTTACAACAATCTCTATATTCTTGACACTCCTTCCCTCTCGACATCATCTCCTGCGTCGTTCTTTTGTGGATCTTTGTTGGTTGATGAGCATCTATGGCATCTTCGTTTAGGTCATCCCTCGTCTGGTGTTTTCCAAAAGTTGTTGCAAGATTTACCAAGTTTGAAGTCGGTTTCTTCTTCTACAGAGTCACATTGTCATGTTTGTCCTTTAGCAAAACAGAAAAGGTTAGCCTATGTTTCACATAATCATTTGTCGTCTAAACCTTTTGATTTAGTTCACATAGATATTTGGGGTCCATTTAGTCAAGAGTCTGTTGAAGGATTTCGTTATTTCTTTACGTTAGTGGATGATTGTACAAGAATGACTTGGGTTTATATGTTGAGGAATAAAAGTGATGTTTCTACTTCTTTTCCTGCATTTTCAAATCTAGTTTCAACTCAGTTTCATACCAAAGTTAAAGCTATCCGTTCTGACAATGCACCTGAGCTCGCTTTTCCTGATCTTATTAAGGAACATGGCATGTTGCATCATTATTCTTGTGCTTACACACCGCAACAAAATTCGGTTGTCGAACGNTCTTTTTGATCAATCGTTTGCCTTCTCCTTTACTTGGTTTCAAGTCACCTTTTGAGCTTATACTTGGTAAGAAACCTGATTACTCAATGTTGAAAGTTTTTGGCTCATTGTGTTATGTTTCTACGCATCTAAAAGATCGTCATAAATTTTCTCCTAGAGCTAGACCTTGTGTTTTCTTAGGCTATCCGCTTGGTTATAAAGGTTTTAAGGTGCTTGACTTAGAATCTCACTCTGTTTCTATTTCTCGAAACGTTGTTTTTCATGAATCGGATTTTCCTTTTAAGAAAAGTGATTTAGTTTCTACTGCTACTGATATGTTTCCCAACACCATTTTACCATTACCTGTTCCCTTTCATTTTGTTGAGACTTTTCCTTTACCAGAAAATTTGCATTCTGATTGTTCTCATCCTATGCATGTTTCTTCTGATGATACTGTCATACATTCACATTCATCATTATCATCATCTAATGGGCATAATGGAACTGTTTCATCTACATCACATGATAATGTTACTGGTGCTGGCTCTGTTAACGTTACTAGACCTAAGCGATCAACTAAGCCTCCTAGCTATCTTTCTGAGTACCATTGTGCTCTACTTCCTTTTTCATCTTTTTCACCACTAAATATTCCCAAAGAACAGAAAACTCCTTATCCTATTTCTTCTGTTTTGTGCTATGATAATCTCAACCCTCTTTTTCAATCCTCTATTTTTGCCTATACTGTTGAAACTGAACCCAAAACGTTTAAGCAAGCTATGGCATCTGAGATGTGGCGAGGCTCTGTGAATGCAGAATTTGAGGCTCTTGAGCAGAATGGTACTTGGGATATTGAAAGCTTACCTGCTGGTAAGAATGTGGTGGGGTGTAAATGGGTTCATACTCTGAAATATAATGCTGATGGTACGATTGAGAGGCNAACTGAACCCAAAACGTTTAAGCAAGCTATGGCATCTGAGATGTGGCGAGGCTCTGTGAATGCAGAATTTGAGGCTCTTGAGCAGAATGGTACTTGGGATATTGAAAGCTTACCTGCTGGTAAGAATGTGGTGGGGTGTAAATGGGTTCATACTCTGAAATATAATGCTGATGGTACGATTGAGAGGCCTAAATCTCGGCTGGTGGCACAGGGATTTACTCAACAGGAAGGTCTTGACTTCATTGACACGTTTTCTCCTGTTGCTAAATTGACTAGTGTGAAGCTCTTACTTTGCTTGGCTGCAGCAAAAGGATGGTCTTTGAAGCAAATGGATGTTTCTAATGCCTTTTTACATGGGGAGTTAGATGAAGAGATATATATGCGGATTCCTCAGGGTTATACTCCTCCTCTGGGCACAACACTTCCTCCTAATGCTGTTTGTCGATTGCGTAAGTCTCTCTATGGACTCAAGCAGGCTTCACGTCAATGGTATAAGCGGTTTTCTTCCGTTTTACTTGGAGCTAACTTCATTCAATCACCAGCTGACAATACTCTTTTTGTCAAAGCCACCACAACATCTTTTCTTGCTGTTCTGGTGTATGTGGACGACATCTTGATTGTGAGTAATAATGAGGTTGATTTGCTTGCTCTCCAGAATCTGTTGCGTTCTGAGTTTAAGATCAAAGATCTTGGTGATGCTAGGTTCTTTCTTGGTCTTGAAATAGCACGTTCTGCTAAGGGTATAGCTGTCTGTCAGCGGAAGTATACCTTGAACCTGCTTGAAGATTCTGGTCTACTTGGATGTAAGCCTAGTACTATACCAATGGATCCTTCTCTGCACTTATCTAAGGATTTGGGAACTTTATTACCCAATCCTACAGAGTACCGTGAGCTTATTGGACGCCTTTTGTATCTGACTATCACTCGGATGGATATTACTTTTGCGGTTCATCAGTTAAGTCAATTCTTATCAGCTCCAACGGATATTCATTTGCAGGCAGCTCATAAGGTTCTGCGTTACTTGAAAGGGAATCCAGCCTTAGGTCTTTTCTATCCTGCTGATACAGAGTTGTGTCTCAATGCGTTTGCTGATGCGGATTGGGCTACTTGTAAGGATACCAGGCGTTCTGTTACTGGTTTTTGTGTCTTCTTGGGTACTTCCTTGATCTCTTGGAAGTCCAAGAAACAATCTGTTGTGAGTAGAAGCAGTACAGAAGCGGAGTATAGAAGCTTGGCTCTAGCGACTTGTGAGTTGATATGGCTGCAACAGTTGCTCAAAGATCTTCATGTCTCCGTCACGTCTATTGCGAAGCTTTTCTGTGATAACAAGTCAGCGATTCATATTGCCATGAACCCTGTCTTTCATGAACGCACCAAACATATAGACATCGATTGTCATACGGTGAGAGATCAGCTGAAGGCAGGGCGCTTAAGAACTCTTCATGTTTCTACTGGTAACCAACTTGCAGACATTTTGACAAAGTCTCTGCATCCAGGTCCTTTTCATTCTCTTCTAAGCCGGGTTTCAATGTCAAGTCTTTATCTTCAACCAGACACAGAAGCTAAAGACTTGAGGGGGGCGTCTTAGATTAGTTGGTTAAGTACTGGTTAAATGTTGGTTAGGTACTAGTTCGGTTTACTTGTAAATACCGGGTACCTATATATATGTGTAAATGTATCTGTACAGTTACAATTAATGTGAATAACAAACTTTTACATTCAGCTCAAACTCTCTCTCTCGAAGCTCTCATTCATCATCTTCTTCTCTTCAATCGTTTGTTAATACTTCTTATCACCTTGATTATCCATCAAGATTTCCGAGAGTGATACTACAAGATCAGGACAAGAATGAAACCATTATAACAGAGTGAAAGTACTAATCAATCAAACATAATCTGTAACTAAGACTAAAAGACATGATTTCAGGATTACCCTCAAGAGTCACGCACACAGAAAGGACAAGCACTGCAGCACAGCTAACATAATCTGTTTCTAATCTGTATTTCAGCATCCAGCAAAATTAGATAGTTTTTGGTAACCTGTCACCTGTTTTTTTTTGTTTTTTTGGTAACCTGAATGCCCAAGCCTATTTTGAGTGTTTGTGTGTTTACAAAATAACAATGGAGACAAAGATGCCATAACAATACAAGTTTGAATAAATACTAAATAGAATACCAATCTTAAAATATCAAAAGGTTATACTGGAAAAAAAACACCTAAACGTAATTGCTAAGAAAGCAGAGTACTCTGTTTTGTTTTCAATAATCCTTCACCATACTCAGTTTCGACCAGTTAATAAGTGATAAAAAATATCATTGAAGGAGAGAGGAGCTCTAGTTGCAGACAACTCGGTCTTTTCTACCTCAAACTTGTTCTTCAAGTCATGAAGCTGTGCCTCCATTTCTTTCACTCTTGCCTCACAAGCCTTCTCTTTCTCCTTCGTTTTCTTTAGTTGGTCCAGCTTATTCTCCAACCAATCCACCTTAAGCTAAGCAGGAAGTTCATAAATGTTGTCCTTACGTGCTGGTTCTTTGCACGGAACTCTATTGCAGTGTCAGGATGAGTTTCAAATATAAGACTCACAGATTGTACCTGCGAGAGTCCAATGATATATAAGCTATACCATACAAGGTTTTGGAGGTCTGAATACTTTTCATATAGTAACAGAAACTAAAAGTAACAAGAAAACCACCATCTAATGCAGACCACATGCATGAGTATATACAGGTTTGAGATTTTAGAAGAATATAAAAATGCATAGTTGGGTACAAATCTTAACCTTTTCACCTGTGAAGGAAGAACATGAAACCCATTGACCTCTAACTTCCTCATGGGAATGGATTCAACATCTGATACGCCATGGATTTTTCATCACATGAGCTGGTATAAAATGTAAAAAAAAAAGACTATGCTAAAAGTCCTAACAAGTCATACATTCTAAAGCAATACTTAACTCTGGTCCAAACAAGTCTAATGGAACAACCACTAGAAATTGTGAAAAAACGTAACCCCTTAACTCTGTAAAAGAACAGAACTTTAATGAGTTGTAGATTGTATCAAAGGTTTTATCTCTCAACTCTCTGTTTGTTCTCTCGTTTATTTAGTTATGGTTTTGCAAGTAAGTAAAGACACATGAGATTTATCGAGTTCAGGCACTTCTCCTCGCCCTACGTCTCGCCGAGAAATTTCTCGGAAATCCACTAAGAAACTTCGCTCAAACTCGAGCCTTTACTGTTCTTACAATCTCTCTCTATCTCACTTACAACTTGTTTTCTCTACCACACAAATTAGCCTAAGGTTCCTCCTTTATAGTAACTTGAGGAAATCCCTAGGAGCTTACCGACATTGGGCGCGCCTCTTCAGGACAATGTCAGACTTCTCGTGCTTGCTAGTGTGGTCCTTCTTCTTGTACATCTTCTAGAGTCGGAGATAATCAGAGTCCCAACTCGTCTTCTCCAGTTGTATGTACTTCTTAGACAAGATGACGCCATGAAACAGAGAGAATAGCTTCAAACTTCTTTGTCGTTGTCCAGTCAAACCAAAACTTGTTCCTTGCTGGACCAGAACACTACTTGGGCCTTTGACTTGGGCTTGACAGCCCCAAAGTGTAGACCAACTTTCACAAAACTCCTCTTTGGTCTATACTTCCTATGCCCATAATATTCATTCTTAGTTTACTTGGATTTCCTTTTCTCGGATTCTTGGTCTCTTAGTGACTTGAGACCCTGAGAAGCTTCAATGCATCCTGAAGCTTACTCACTGGTACACCCTTTGTAAGAATATCAGCTGGATTCCAGATTGTTGAGATCTTATCCACTTGAATTCTTCCTTCTTCTATCTTTTCTCTGATGAAATGGAAGTTGACATCAATATGTTTTGTCCTTTCGTGGTACACAGAGTTCTTAGCCAAAGCAATAGCACTCTGTGAATCACACATCACCTGAACAAAACTCTGCTTGAACCCCATCTCTTCCGACAGACCCTTCAACCATATAGCCTCCTTTGCTGCCTCATTTAAGGAAATGTACTCAGGCTCGGTGGTAGACAAAGCAACAACAGACTGAAGTCCTGAATTCCAGCTTATTGTGTTTCCTCCTGATGTGAAAACATAGCCGCTTACTGATCTTCTTCTATCTGGATCCGTCGCATAGTCAGAATCGCAGTATCCCTTGATTTCAAACTGATCAGACTTCTTGAACTGCAAACCAACCATCTTTTATCCTCTGATGTACCTCAGTACCCACTTCACAGCTTGCCAATGATTCTTTGTCGGGTTTGACATGTATCTGCATACAAGGCCCACAGCGTAAGCAAGGTCAGGCCGTGAGCCAATCATTAGGTACATGATGCTTCCTATAGCGTTTGCATAAGGAATGTGCTTCATATACTCCTCCTCCGCCTTTAGAACATCTTCAGTAGCTGCTCTCAGTTTAAAATGTGCTTTAAGAGGAGTGCTTACTGGTTTGCAGTCCTCCATCTTATAAGTGCGTAGCACCTTCTCAACATAGCTCTCCTGAGATAGCTCTAATGTTCCCTTCTCTCGGGTTCCTGATTATATCCATCCCTAGAATCTTCCGAGCCGGGCCTAAATCCTTCATCTCAAACTCCTTGTTCAACAGCTCCTTTAACTTTTGTATCTCTTTCTTGTCTGTAGAGGCTATCAGCATATCGTCGACATAGAGAAGTAGATATATATGTGTGTCACTCTTCAGCTTCTTTATGTAAACACACGTATCATATTTACTTCTTTGGTAGCCAGCAGACTGCATGAAAGAGTTGAATCTTTGATTCCATTTTCTCGGAGACTGCTTTAAGCCATACAGGGATTTCTTGAGTGAGCACACTTGCTCTGATCTTCCCTCAACTTCATACCCTTCTGGTTGCTCCATTAGAATGTACTCATTTAGTTCCCCATGGAGGAAGGCGGTCTTTACGTCCATCTGCTCAAGCTCCATGTCGAACTGTACCACAACAGAGAGTAGGTACCTTATGGACACTTTCTTGACAACCGGAGAGAAGATCTCTTGGTAGTCGACGCCTTCCTTTTGTGAGTAGCCTTTTGCTACAAGTCGGGCTTTGTATCTAGGAGGCTCTACACCAGGAATGCCAGCTTTCCTCTTGAATATCCACTTACTACCAATTACATGCTTCTTCTCTGGTCTTTCTTGAAGTTCCCAGGTATGGTTTCTGGATAGAGAGCTCATCTCCTCATCAGCTGCATCCTTCCATTCTTTCCATTCAGCACTGTCCATCGCTTCTTNGCTACAAGTCGGGCTTTGTATCTAGGAGGCTCTACACCAGGAATGCCAGCTTTCCTCTTGAATATCCACTTACTACCAATTACATGCTTCTTCTCTGGTCTTTCTTGAAGTTCCCAGGTATGGTTTCTGGATAGAGAGCTCATCTCCTCATCAGCTGCATCCTTCCATTCTTTCCATTCAGCACTGTCCATCGCTTCTTGATAGGATGATGGTTCTGCTACCTCACCATCTTCTGTTGTGTTTAAAGCAAACCCAACCAAATTTACTTCTTCAGTGAACCTCAGAGGTGGTTTTATCGTTCTCCTGGTCCTGTCTCTGGCCAGTTGATAATTCTCCAGGTCATAGTCCTCTGATTCATCGCTTGAGCTCTCTTCATCTGGTTGAACCTCAGTTCTTGAGCCACTTGCAGTCCTACTTCGTTCAGCCTCAGTTACTTCTTCTTGGTAACTTATGTCAGTAGATAAGTCTTTCAGCTCTATACTTATCCTTTCCTTTTCTGAGGTAGTTTGTCTCTGCTCATCGACTCTTACTGAAGCAATGTTCTTGAACATTATTCCTTCCTGGAATACTACATCTCTTGACACAACACATTTCCTGTCTTCTAGAAGCCACACTCTGAATCCCTTCACACCAGTTGGATAGTCCACAAAAATACCTTTCTTTGCTCGTGGGTTCAGTTTCCCTTGATCTGAGTGAACGTAGACAACTGACCCAAATCTTCTGAGTACCCTGTAGTCCGGTGGATGCCCTGTCCATACTTCATCTGGTATGGAGAAGTCAATGGATGAGCTTGGACTTTTGTTGATCACAAACACTGCAGTTAAAGCTGCTTCTACCCAGAACTGTTTCCTCATTCCTGACTCACTCAACATGCACCTGACCTTGTTCATAATCGTGCTATTCATTCTCTCTGCCACTCCGTTCTGCTGAGGATTATAAGAACATGTTCTGTGTCTTACAACTCCTTCTTCTTTACAGAAAGAATCGAATTCCTGATTACAAAACTCAAGATCGTTGTCAGTCCTTAGTGTCTTCAGCTTCCTGCCAGTCTGATTCTCTGCTAACACCTTCCACTCCACAAACTTACTGAAAGCTTCGTCTTTTGTCTTTATGAAATATATCCATGTCTTCCTGGTAAAGTCATCGATAAATGTTATAAAGTATTGAAATTTACCAAGAGACAATGGAACCGTTGGAGATCCCCACAAATTCGAATGAACGTAGTCCATCTTGCTCTTTGTGACATGTTTTGCAGACCCAAAANCACCTTCCACTCCACAAACTTACTGAAAGCTTCGTCTTTTGTCTTTATGAAATATATCCATGTCTTCCTGGTAAAGTCATCGATAAATGTTATAAAGTATTGAAATTTACCAAGAGACAATGGAACCGTTGGAGATCCCCACAAATTCGAATGAACGTAGTCCATCTTGCTCTTTGTGACATGTTTTGCAGACCCAAAACTGACCTTGTGTGTCTTCCCGTATACACAATCTTCACAGAACTGCATCTCCTTCACTTTGCCCTTATCCAGATATCCCTTTCTGACCAACACTTCCAATTCTTTTGAGCCAATGTGTCCCAGCCTGCTATGCCATGGACTTGTTTCATCTATCATCTTGTCTATGGCATTAACTTCTCCAACCAACGTGGTTGCTTGCAGAAAGTAGAGAGTGTTAAGTTTCTTGCCTGCCAAGACTGTGTCTCCTCCCTTTCTGATCTTCATGACACCATCTTTTGACTCAAACCAGCATCCTTTGTCTTCAAGTGTTCCTAGCGAGATCAGGTTCTTTGACATCGCAGGAACATATCTGACCTGTGTGAGCAGTACCGTAGTTCCATCTTCATTCATGAACCTGACATCTCCAATGCCTCTGACATCTGAGTAAGTATCGTTTCCCATTCTGACCTTCCCGCTTGAAGTTTCTTTGAAGTTCAACAGCCAATCACTTCTACCAGTCATGTGAAACGAACAGCCTGTGTCGAGAACCCATGTCTCTGGAGTTAGTTCAGCAAATCCCAGTGAAGCATCTGAGGCCATCAGTGCAGTTGTGTCTATGGTTTGAGAGGTCACGGTGGAAGCTTCACCTCTTTCTGATGACGAGTCTCTTGACTTGTTTCTTTCCTTCCACACGTGACACTGCTTTTTGAAATGACCCTCCTTTCCACAGATCCAGCATGTTTTCCCACTTCCTCTGGACTTTGACCTGCTCTTGTGCTTCCCCTTATCCGAGCTTTTGCCTCTTCTTTCAGATCTACCCCTGTCCTGAACGAACAGACCATCAGAGTTGTTTTTCAGTAGCTTGCATGAGGACCCAAGCTCCAGTATCTTGGATCTGATAGCTCCAGTGATTTCTTCAAGGTGTAGAGTTGTCTTACAGTACTTGAGTGTCTCCTTCAGTTGATCAAACTGTTTAGGTAAGGACATCAGCAAGACAATAGCTTGATCTTCCTCTGGTACTACCACTTTTACGTTCTCAAGATCTGAAATCAGCTTGAAGAAATCATTCACGTTCTCCCCTATAGACATGCTTTCACTCATCTTGTAAGCATATAACCTCTGTTTGAGGT